GCAAACAAAACACATCATTCATAACAGAAACAGCTCGCAATAGCCACAGGAACGTTGCTGCAAGACAGGCATATGTAACGACGACTTAGCGCTCTTAAACGCGTGTGTCATTAAATACAGTCCTCCTGACAACAGGCCAGTGAAAAATCTAACAATCTACAGCAAAACCATCAATTATTATGGGCGTTATAACATACGTGTGCAGCTGGACGAAACATACACGTCGAACCCCCCCAGACGATTTAAATCCCTGACGAAACATACACGACGAACCACGGCAACGGGTTAATGGACAAACTTGCCACACTGTCACAGTCCCCACCCCACGTACCTTCGTAGAGAACTTGTTGTAGGCCAGACCCTCGGGAGCTGTCCACTTGATAGGGAACTTGGCACCAGCATGTGCTGTGTATGTGTCATCCCTCATCAGGCGTGCTAGTCCGAAGTCTGCCACTTTCACCAGATGGTTTTCCCCTACCAAGCAGTTCCGAGCTGCCAGATCTCTGTTGCAAGCAGTAACACATGAAGCACAATATCAATTACATTAGCTCTGGGCAACTATTAACCCTTATCCACCAACCTCACTGCAACAGCTACAGCATCACTCAGAACCATGCTTCTGACCACCCTGTAGACAAGGGCATGGCTGTATGTCGACATTTATTTATAATGCAGCAACAGGCTCTGCAATAGGCTGGGCCTTCTATCAATGGGATGGCATCATGTGTTTCAGAATTGATTTTCAACTGAAATAGGCCAGGCCAGAGAAGTGAAACCGCTTCTTTCCACTGGACGTGATGCCCCAATGTGACAGCCTTCAGTACAGATTCTGCTCAACTTTCTGATTTTCTATTCATGCCAAACATTTTTTCAGTACTTTAAGTCTTTCATATTAATATTTGGTATATTTCCTTTTTGTTTCCAAATTCAGATTTGTTTCTAAAAATCTGGGGCACATGGAGCAGAGGCCTGGCTGCTACCACCCCCAGCTACTCACATTCATACTGACAGGAAAGCAAGCATTACCATTTTATGTATAGATACATGGGGATCATTCAGTATTCTCAACTCTCAAAACAAAACAAATACGAGAAGACTTGGGCCTTCCCTTGTCCCAGAAACCAAGATCATGTCATTACCTGTGGATGAAACTGCGACTCTCGAGGTAGCTCATGCCACCAGCAATCTGGGTGGCCATGTACATAAGCACCACAGCATTGATTTGGTCCTTGTTCCCATTACGCAAGTAGTCCAGCAAGTTCCCCTTACTCATGAATTCTGTGATGATATAAAATGGAGGCTCTCGTGTGCACACACCTGTCATAGAGGATCATTATCATCATCATCATCAATATAGTCTATGGCTGGTAGCCTGGTCTGGCCTAATATACTCTGCTGCACTCTTGGTCATTCAATAAGCAATAGCAATTCACAAATTCTAAGATCATAACAGCCAGTCTGCTTAGGACACAAATAAAGCAGATGCCACAAGATGCCTACCATACAAACGCCCTGCAAAAGTGCAACATGGAGATGTAAGTCAATCGCATACACTACTGTATCAAACAAAATACTTTATCACCACTGCTTTTCAATAAGCTGTTCAGAAGACAAATATCAAATTGGAGACATCAGCTTTTGGTCTTTGAAGATGATGTACATTTGCTGGGAAAAAACATAAATACCACAATGAAAAACCAACAGGCTTGAAAACAGATTGGTCTGCGAGTAAATGCAGATAAAATATGACAATGTTTCACTAGAAGAATGCATGACAAAATTATAACATAAATCCTTTTGAGTTAAGTGCATTACATCTCAAAAGAAATTAGAAGCAGATTACATTCAGGGAATGCCTGCTACCACTCAGTTCACAATGTTCATCTTCCAGCCTTCTTATTTCTTTAAAAAAAAATATGATTATACTACACAGATCTATAATTTTACCTGGTGTTTTGTACAGGAGTGAAACCTAGTCCCTCGCCCTAAGGGAAGAATACAGAATCAAGATGTTTGAGAACGGGGTACTGAGAGTACTGAGAGAGAGAGAGAGAGTTAAATACAGAGTGACAAAGTCAAGAATGATGAGATGGGCAGGGTATGTAGCATGTATGGGAGAGATCACATATGCAGTACAACAGAGGGGGTGATGAGGATAGATCTTAAAGAAATGGGAGGTAAAGAAGGAGACTGGAGTCACATGGTTCAGTGGCGGGCTGTAGGCTCCACACAGGATGGGTAACTTTTTGAGTAGCTGTGTGACTGTCAGCATCTCAAGAAGCGCACAAAATATGATATCCAAACTGATTGGCTGCTTACTCTGGAAGCCATATTATTCAGCATTATTACCTCAGTTCAATAACCAGATATGTAACTTGCATGCAGTAGTGACAATGGGCACTCACTACCTGGCATTCCGAAACATAACTATCATTACACTTCACTAAGAGCCTTGGCTTTCCTGTGTCCCCTTACTTTACACACAGTGAAAGTGCTCCCAATAATTACTGGATAAGAGGCTGACTGTGCCCTAGGGCCAGTGTGAATGAACACTGTGGTGAAAAGAAAAATCACTGATCTTTCTAGAAGCAAACCCCAAACATACAGCCTACTCATGACACTCGCTGAGCTACCCAGCCCACTTTCTAAACAATGCAAGGTACAATCATTAAGTCCGGTATCATATTCACTACCGTTGCAATATGGTACCACTAATTTTAAGGTCTGAATATATTTCGTGCTGTTCAACCCCCTTTTAACAACCTGTCTGAGAGCACTTGAATGAAGCAGAGCCTTGGCTTAATTTCTGGGATCACGTCACTGACAACATTCATACAATTTGACCCTATCTGTGGGGGTATGTGATCTCTGACCATATGTGCCACCTGCTTTCATATTAAACAATTTTGTATTTTGGACACTTAACTGTTTTGTATGGTTGTCAAACTGAAGTGCTTATTTCAGTAAACAGCATCAATTGATTGATTTTTGTAACAGTAATGGCATGTTTCCTGTGCTGTAGTAAGTGAATTATTAAATATTAATTAGATGAACTCAAAAGGTCAATGCAGTGCACAATGCAAGCACTTACCCAACAGCTGTACCAAGTTTGGGTGTTTCATCTCCTTCATGATGGCCGCTTCTTCCAGGAAATCTTTCAGGGCCATTGTGTCTTCCTGCAGGGAGCAAGAAAACAACAGATCTGTTATACTGTACCATATTGACCATACAGAAAAATGTCCAGAAATCAACCCCTCAAAGCCTGTCAGGCTGGTTGACAGAGATCACAGTGGCAGGAAAGGCTATATATATAAAATGTAAAGCTATCCCATGTTTTCTAGACAGTCAGCTCAAAGATGGCAGTGAGGTTGTCAGCCTTACGCACTGGTTGTCCTTTACCCCCAAGAAGATTCCTGGCACCCATTTCTGTCAGAGGCTGTGTCTCGACCCAAAGGTCAGAGTGTGGATGGAAGGATTAGGTCAATCGAAGAATCCGACAACCTCACTGGGAATCTAACCAGCAACCTTCTGGCTTATAGCACAGTAGACAGACAGTGGAAAGCCTAACAATTCATGGGCCTCCTTCCTGAGGCCTCAGTATAATGATGCATTTTCAGAAAGGAGTAATTGACAGAACAGTTAGTTTTACATAACAGCAACGAATGCAGTCAAAATGTAGGACTCATCTAATTTTGTGCTGCTATTGTGTAAGCCAGGAATGGCCCACAATACAACTGACACTAGGAGCCTTCAATGTCTTTGAATGTGTCTCCTAGAATGTGACAACGTGCAGTCTGGTAGATCATGCTCACCATTTTGGAGAAACACACTGCTTCCATCCTCCACCCTGAAGATGGAGGCAGTATGCTCTCCTGATACATCACATGTGCATTCTCTCTACACAGACACACACTGTATTTATTAACTGGTTGGTCTTGTTAATGGAGACACTGCATTTTCTGTGGGGTTGGAACTAAATTTTTAAATATTACTTAGTCAAATTTCATGCTCTGAAGAACTAATTTAAGGACAAGCATAAACAATTTTACACTATTTCCTCTATGAGGGAAAAATAGTTTTTGCAAACTGTGTGGACACAAAGTTAGGCAAGAAATGATTCCCATGAGAGTAAGGGCATAAACCAGAATCATGAATAGTTTTAGAAGGAACTAACTTTGAGGGTCTTCACAGCAACAGTCATATTGTAGCGCTTCCAAACAGCCTCATACACGTCACCATACTGACCGCCACCCAGCTTATGCCTCATCACTATGTCGGTGCGGTTCACCTCCCATTCGTCTGGTTCTGCAATACAGTACATCCGTATTACAACAAAAGTAAATAATCCTATACTTTCATGGCAGAGGAGATTCATGCTCTGGTCTTCTGGATTATGATGCTATGTAGTGAAGCATGTGGGTACCAATGTCTCAGAGAAGTTCTGCAGGCAGTACATTCCTCTAAAGAGTTGGTATCAGCCTACCAAACTACATACAGTCACCTCCCAGAAGATCGAAATCTTCGTACTCAATGCCGCAGCAACCCCAAATCTCATGTTCTGCTCTCTGTTATGTGATGGGAATATCACAGGTAGTTTCATCTGTCAAGTGATAACAGGAAGGTCTTTTATTTTAACCACATTAAAACACAAGATACAAGGGATCAGCATTCATATTTGAGACACAGCATCTTGTTTATGATACAGAGAGGTTTAACAATTCATGTAGTTCTCAGGAATCAAAGATTCAATTCACAAAACACAACAGTGGAGCCAGCAGCATAACGTGAACATTGTGAAGGCACCCGAACTGTGTACGAACATACGATGAAACTAGCAAAAACACCATGAAGAATATAAACCCATATGCACAATGAACCTGTAAAATAAATAGCATGAGTTACACAAACACACCTGGACTGAGTGCAAATACTGTTGGTTTGTTGTGCTTTGGAGCTGGGTACAGAAGCTGGGTGATTAGACCATCAGAATGCATCGAATGGTGGTGTACGAGCTCTGCTAGGGTATTGAATTTACTTTCAGTCGTGACATACACCTGTAACAAGTGACAACAGCACATGAGAGATCTGAGGTTCTCACACTGGTGAATATGTAATTAAATGCAACAAAAATTAATGTATGATGAATTCAAAATAAAACTCCAAACATCACTTTGGTTACGTGATTAAAAAAATTAAAAAGTATGAAATTGTTTTCTGGAACAGACATCACAAAATTATGCTTCCTAATTACAATTTATCACTTCTGAAGTAGTGCCTTCTCAGTACAGGGTGATTGCAGAAAAACTGCATCACAGCAAAACTATCTTATGTAGGAATTTGTTACATGTGATTGTACTCTGGTGCACCATATATTTGCAGTCACTAAGGTACAAACAAGATCTGGACATGTGATTATAACATGCACACATTTCAACCAAACTCTCAACCATCTTTGTTGATACAGTACACAGCAACACCTCATATTTCTGCCATAAACTATAATGTATACTAAAGACATAAAGTAACCTTGACCCAGTGTTAAGGTTAAAAATGCATGGATCTATACCTCGACCCCCTTGTACATCTTCATGGTCATGCTTAATTAAGCAATGAAGTAACTTCATCTTAACCTCTGCAGTCTTATTACCCTTAGACACAATACTGTGGTTAGGAATGGCATTTTTGCCCATTAGACCCGCACAAGTTCCCCAAAGAATTTAAAGTTGAAATCAGTTTCTAGCTAATACCAAAATATGAACTTGGCTACTGTACTTACTTTTCCTTCAGCATCTTCATTAATTCGATAATGGTAAACGCGACCTTCATAACGTAGAGATATGCTCCGCTGGCCAGGGCTGCTCTCCGACTCTCGTACCAGGAAGCTACCGTTGATGCCAGAGCTCAGTAAATATTCAGCAGCATTACGTGAGATAGGGCCATGGTACCATGAGTGTTTCTCTAAAGAGTTAACTGGAGTCACATAGTTGGATGGGACCCAGCCCACCTGTCCTGCAGCAGAATGTGCCTCACACCACTCGCCACTCTTGTTGTAACTCAGGATGCGAACCTGCTCCCCTGCAAACACAACAAATATAAACATTACTGCCAGTTTGGGCATCTAAATCATCTTGAGCTTCTTCAAACAAAATGTTCCTAAAACTGGATCTGTTCTGTCATGGCGTACAAGGGACGAAAGGTTCCTACCCAGCTGAACCTGTTAGAAAGAGCTAGTCATGAAGACTAGTGACTATTGGGCTAAACCAATTAGGGATATTTTCCCCTTACAACAGATAATGGAAATATATCAAACAACAAAGAAACTCTGTGGTTTTAGTCCGCAAGCAAACTATACTGAGCGACCGCTGCTTGTCAGCAAAGTTAGTGCCAAGTTTAACGGATAGAGGGTGTTTCATGGTCAGCACAACGAATCCCCACAACCGTTAATTTCGGTTTTCTAGCCCAGAATGGAAAGAGATCGAGTCTTTAAAACGCTGTGTTGGAAAGAACAGAACATAAGACAATGAACACTGTCCAAAAAAAAAAACACATGTTTAATATTCACTCACAAAATGCAGAGATCATGTTTAATATTAACTGTGAGAAAAACAGAGAGCTGCATACGTTACTGCACACTAGCAACACTAACCTCTCTTACATAACACTTGTCCATGTAGCATCACATCCATTGCACTTGCTGGGTATTACCTGCTGCATGTTTCGACCCTATTACAGTTCAACACCACAATAACAAGCTCACTACATTACTAAGTACAGGACATCACACATAAGAGAAACTGAAACGCCACATACAAGAACAGATAACAAAGGAATCCTATGAAGGAAGTTCCATACATGAAACCACAATGCTACTACATCCACCATAAAGGAAAATAAAGAAAGTGTACATCAGTTCATGCAGCTACAAAAGTTTTCAAAAACCAACACACAAATGAAACAAGGATGGGAAGCCACAACTTTCCCACATGCAACTTTAGTGCTATTTTTAGCATTTCAATTTTAATAAAAATGTTAACCCAACTAAGCAGGAAATCAACAAGAAACCAACTATAGAGACAGAAAAAACATGAACCACATGTACACTTACACAAATATCACCCGTATTCTCGCACTTACATTGCATTACATTTGAAGTAATTTTATTGCTTGCATATTTGCACATTTATATTTGCAATTTTCATTCTGTGGCCATAAAATAGATATCCAGTTGGATAATACAGATTTATGAACAAGGGACCAATGTTCTATTAAAATGTATGGTATGGTGATTCAGGGGACCCAGAAATAGGTTCGAAACAGGTCATGGGTAAGAATAAAAACACTACTAATACAAGGCTGTTGTACTGATGGCACCATAAGGAACTGTATGAACTCATGAAATGACAACAGCCACATTATCAACACGCTTGGCCCAAACAGTTTCGATCTCAGACACCGAGGCGTGCAGGAGTCCATGAAATTCAAGAAAAGTCAGAATGCACAGGACCAAGAATAGACACACTCTGAAACAGAGGGACTGTTTATGTGACAACAGAGAACTGAGACTGGTTCATGAGGCTTCATGAAGATACTACTGACAGAAGGCTGTCATGTTGTGTGAATTCATGTCAGTATTATACCAATATTGTGATACAAATTATGTGGTCTGATGGGGAAAACAACAAAGCATTTTATCAAATCAACAAACATGATGTCTACCTAGTTGAGCATTCCCACATTACCAATAAAAGCAACTTGCACCATATGATCTGCCAACATGTTTAATGTTGTATGTGTTGTCTTACAGTCATTTCACAATGCAGTCAGTGCCCATGCAGTTCTAATACTCTGCAGCACTGTGGCAGTAATGATTTCACTAACACATTCATGAGAGTATGACCATACTACCAACGATTCATAGCCCTCTGAAGCCTGAAATCCCCCTAAACTTTTAGAAACTAAGTTCTAACTTCACTGAAAACACAGGGTACCTTCATTAAAAAAACCTCCAAGGCAATGTTATTTTGAAAAGCAATCACTGCTTATTCTGAAAACTGTCCAAAATAAATAAAATTTGTGAGTAAAACGCGTAATTTTCAAATGTTAAAATATATGGTACATACAGTAAATTATAGTGCTTAAAAGGGCTAATGCAATATAACTACATGTCTATGTTTTAAACACTATATTTTATTGGTGTCTCAGTGGCTGCAGGCTGGATGACAGGGAGTTCATACACATGGAAAGAGTAAGGATTTTGTGTGTCACAATATCCAGACAAGTTCTGAATCCAACCCAGCCTCCTCTAAAACGAGTGCCTGTACAGCAGCATGTGTGAACCTAACCAAATTTTCACCTAGTGCTCAAGTTAAAAATGGGCGGAGTTTTACTACATGCTCCTATCTGCCTTCATAATGTGATACTACAGGACAACCTTACTTTTCTACCTTAAGTTTCAAACTCTAGTGACTACTATTCTATAAGCTGGGCAGGGCAAAGGGTGGAGGTCTGTCTTCTTGTGCACATTAACTATTTAGTTCTCCTGGCAATGTAACAGGGGAGCTGGCTCTAACAAACCCCTTCATATTCTCGATTCAACTTCTTTCCTGATCTGAAGAATTTATCCAAAACCGAGGAACTAGAGTCACACAGATTTCCATTCTCTGATGGACGCACCTTTCTTGAGGCTCAACTGGTTTTCGCCTCCAGCCTGGAAATCATACAATGCCACAAACAACTGAGGATCATCCTCTTCCTGTGCCAGCAGGTTCTCCTTCGAGGTCCATCTGTTAGCTGCATCCAAAGGCAATGGGGTTCCTGGAGCGGCAGTACCTGAGCCGGAGCCTCCTGTACCCGACTGGCTTCCAGATCCTGGAGTGGCACCCCCCTGAAGACTGCCAGGTGGATCACTGTCAGGCAGGTCTGGGATGTGCGGCAAAGGACGGCTCTGCAGCAATGCCTCTGTGGGGCAACAGAAAACAGGCTTCAAACTGCGCACTAACAACTCAGAAGCGGTATCTCTCACTGTGCAGCTCTGAAAAAGCTTGAACATCAATCCTTATCTTTCCATTATCTGATTATGTAATCAGTGATCTCGCCTTTTGCAGAGAAGTCCTTCTGGAGCAATGATAAAATCACCTCCCATGCAGTCTCCTCTTTCAGCACTACGTAAGCCTGTGTTCATTTTTAAGACACACGCCCCCCAAAGAAATATGAGGGCGTTTCAAATTTAAACTCTTAAGAGGGTATATATTTTGGCTGCATTATATCAACACATAGCTGCCACTGCAGCTCGAACCTCTGAATTTGTGTGGATATGTAAGACAGAGAGGAGGAGAAGGAGGGAGGAGGGAGAAAACAGAGAAGAAAGAGGGAGAGCAGGAGAAGTAAGAGAAGAAGAACGAGATCTTCAGAGAACGATCTGGGGAGTCATATTTCCTGGTGATGAACACTAGGAACTTTATATAGGGCCTAAGCATGATTCAAATGTGTGATTCTGGACCATCCAATGACTAACAAAAACCCACAGAGCAAAAAAGAGACAGACAGACACAATGGCAAGATGAAGGTACAGTGTGCACACAAAAGAAAAGAAGAGATAAACAACAGTCAATAACACTGTGAGACTGAGGCACGCCTTGCCTTCTGTTTCCTGCCTGCTCAGATTATTCTTCACCCTGAAGATGGAGGCATCTTGGAACAGGACGTCGGGCGGGCTTAGACAGAGGAAGTAACATATGACATAATGCACAGCAAGTCGGGATTAACAAGCAAAGCAAAGAATTGCCTTTTTGTGAATAACAGAATATACCAAACATATCTGTATCAATGTATTATTTTGTGCATCTTGGAAAATATACACTTTCACTGTTTTCGTGATAACGAAATTTCAAAAACCTTGTTCAAACAGTTGCTAAATGTTTGCCCGTGTCAAGGGCTGTATCGTGTTTAAAAATGGAGTTGCTGTCAAGAAGAGTTGAGAACAAGACCCTAGCGCTAGGCCACTAATGCATGCACCTGGTCTCCTAACTCTCCTTAACAATATACAACACGCTGCACCGCCAAGTGGTCGTTGCTGCATGCAGGGAAAAATCATAACACTACATAATAAATCCTTTGCAAAATGTGGCAATGGTCAGATATTTGTGAGAAACATTAACAAATGAACATATGACTCATGAGGAAATTAAGAGCCGATTAAATTTTGGCGGTGCTTGTTGCCATTCAGTTCAGAACCTTTTGTCGTTTCACCTGGTGTCTAAAAACATAAAGATTAACGCATACAAAACTATAATTTTGTCTGTAGTTTTGTATGGGTGTGAAACTTGGTACCTGGCAACAGGATGCTTGGGAGAATATTTGGACTCAAATGGGATGGCATAATTAGAATTGTCAAGGAGAATGAAATGGCAGAGCATGTAGCACGCACGGAGCGGAATGCATACAAACTTTTGATAGGAAAGCCTGAAGAAGAGAGACAATTAAGAAGACCTAGATTAGATGGGAGGTCAGTATTAAAATATATCAGAGAAAGAAAGAGGGCGGCTCGATTCGTCTGGAACAGAACAGTGAGCAATGGCCGGAGCTGTGAACACAATAATAAAACTCTATGATCCACAAAATGTTGGGAATATCGTGCATGGCTGAGCAACTAGTAGCTTCTAGAGAGGGGGTCGGTCAGTTTGTTATACGTAGTTATGGTCAGTGCCGTCTTCAGAAATATTCGCACGAAACACAGAAATGCACTGTATGGAGGAAATGCAGTTTTTAATGGTAAAGCAGGTGGCACCTGCAGCGACCACTCCGCTCCGAAAGGCAAAGTGTTGAGGAAGGCCAGATGAAGTATGTGCTGAAAAACAAACCGCGCTTCCTACTTGGGAAGACGCCCTCCAGACGGCGGTGCACCCCCTCCCCTCAGTGGCGCGCGGCGCGGCGCGGACGGAGCATTGATCCGCCGAGAGGCAACGGACCCTTCGCACTCGCGCCGGCACGCCAGCGTCGTCAGCTTCGCGCTGGGTGCCTACACGCGTACATCAGGGGCCCCTTCATAACAATCCCACAGCCGACGTCGACGCCACATCGGATGGAAGGAAACGACAGTGCCGTGGCGCAATTGATGAATGTCGACTTCTTTCCGAAGCCACGCACCTTCATGTAACGCTATGCATTCGAGCGGCGTTTGATCAGATCGGCTAACACAAACACCTACCGCCTCCCATGGAAATGCTGTTCCGTGTCTGAGGATGTGCCGTCAGATTGTGACGCAGGCCGTTACTGAAGGTTTTTTATTGAAGATAGCAGTCTTCTGGGATTTGGCACCGTGTATATGTGGTGTTAACCGACGTTTCGGAGGAACGTATCGCCTCCATCTTCAGGGTAGAAGAAAAAATATATAAGAATGTGCAAGCAAAGAGACCGTGAGAACCGGTAAAAGCAGTCTGCTTAACACCACATATACACGGTGCCAAATCCCAGAAGACTGCTATCTTCTTAGTCACCGCCGTGAAAGCCTCAAATCTTACACGTTTTTTTTATTGCTAGTGGGGTGGGACTAAGTCCCTTGTACTGCGGCCACTTCTGGCCTATTGTACCAGCCCCAGATGATAGGTCAGGGTGATTGTGGAGCAATTGGTGGAATGAAGATTGGCAGAGGAAACCGAAGTACTCGGAGAAAACCTGCCCCAGCGCCACTTTGTCTACCACAAATCCCACTTGACTGGACCCAGGATCGAACCTGGGCCGCCGCGGTGGGAAGCCAGCGACTAACCGCTTGAGCTATAGCACGGCCATTCCTGAATAGCATTAACGAGGACTCAGTCTTTTTGCGGGGCAGGGACTGAATTTTTAAATATTAAGATGAATTTCTAGCTTCTGGAGGTTAAGTTAGTTACATATCTGAACAACTACAACAGCAGAAAATGAAGAAAACATGGATCTATAGATAGAGTCTCGTGTTCGTGACACTATACAGTGGCGAGTGTAGGGTGACTTGCAAATAATGAAACGTGTGGAAGGAAGAGGTGGTTGCCTACAACAAGGCACTATCCAAGAGTCTCACATTTAAAAAAGGGCATTGTGGGCCAATGGGCAGTAAGCACAACGCATAGAAACAGGATTACCCGAAAAGCAGTTACATAATGAAATTTCTTTTAAAACGGTGGCACTGTTGCCAAATTTGCAGATGTGCTTGTACCAGCATCAAAAGGCGCTCAAATCATCTTCCAATGAGTCTGCTCTTCCGCCTAGATTGTGATACCTAAGAACTGAAATCTAAGATCTAACACGAACCATCTTCCTGCAAACACATCCTCGTCGTGACGCTACTGTTCCTTTTTACTCATTTATTTACTTTTTTTGCTTTAGGGCGCTGTCGGCACAGTGTGACATGACTGTTGCCTTTCAAAGCAGAACAAATAACGGCGAGCACACGCGACAGATCACGAACGACAATGTGTGAGGTCTGATGTTCTCACGGTGATGAATACGAAAATGACTGTCATCTGGGTTGCGGCGACGTGCAGGAGGAGCCTGCTGCGTCCATCTTCACCCTTAAGTTTAACTCAGTCTGTTCATTCCGCTTGCCGATCTCAAGTTGAACCGCATTCAGTTGACTTCGGAGAGGCTCTTGCGAACCTTCGGGCCATTTCTTGACCAATCCCTCAGGCAGGAGAAACCCCATGACGTCTCTCATTATGGTTCACGATTTCCTGCAGCCGCCTGAGACCTCTCCATGATAAATCCCAATGTTCGCTCTCCTGTACCCTGAGCTGAGTCTGTCCTCCCCTCAGAGCGACAGACCAAGTTCCCAAATAAACCGGATGCTCTCAAATGTTCATCACTTGTGTTGCTTACCAGCGCCGATATCCCCTTTAAATCTAAGGGCCGTTCACACGTTCACCTACATCGTACTTAGACATTCGGTCCGCACCTCCCAGAAAACACTCTGCGCCTTCAACACAGAGACGAACAGGTTAATGCTGTGTAGGAGAGTAATCGCTATTTATCGTCAGCAACATCACGAACAAGCTGGTTGAAGCTGTCAGCTTGAACCGACTGCTCTAGCTGAAATACTTCCTCCGCACTGTTCCTCAGTCCCGCCAGGCAGATGCGGGTACGGCGTCCTAAAATATGCCACGACCCATTCCGTCCACATCCCTTTCAATTCATCCATCATCCTACCGTGGTAGCGTAGTTGGTTGAGGCACTATGTTACATGCCGGAAGGTCGCGGGCTCGATTCCCGATGAGTGCCATTGGATTCTTTCAATTGACCTAATCCTTCCAGTCGCACTATGGCCCTGGGGTTGACTCAGCCTCTAACAGAAATGAGCACCAGGGATTTTCTTGTGGGTAAAGGGCACCCGGTAAGGAAGGTTGACAACCTCACCGCCATCTGTGACCCGACTGTCTAGAAAATGTGGGAGCCTCGACATCTCATGACCCTATGGGTCTCTAAGGCCTGTTATAGGGATAGTCTTACCTTTTATTACCACTGGACGATACACTTTCAAGGAAACACATCCCTTTTGCAAAACAGGGGTTGGCAGCGACGGTTGAAGTCGAAAAGCCTCGGCACAAGAAGTTTCTGGTTCCTCGGCCAGCACCACACCCCCCTACTGTTCCCGACTTCCTGAATGACTGGGGTTTCAAGGGGAGGGAAAGAGACGGAAATGCTCCGCACACGAAGATCCGTGCTAGCCCACGTTATGATGTTCGAGAAAGCGCATGCATGTACAACACACACGCAGCAGCAGGAACTGTGGCATAAAGCCAAGGGATGTTAAGACTTGAAATTATTAATCACGTACTACGCGGTAGAACAAGCTATATCGATATGTATCAGATTCACAACTTCTATATGAAGTTTGTGCAGTGGAGATTCAAAGTGAAAATAAACAGAATCCATAATATGCATCAGACTGTAAGTTATCACGTAATACAAGAAATAACATACGAAATAAA